TTCCTGTAGATGTATGTCACTTTGACCGAACCACGTTAAATAATGTATTCAGTTTTTTTATTTTAGCTTTAGAAGTTTTATTCCACAAGTTTCACTAAAATTCATTTACCATTTGTTTACAGTACTTAACTTATTATGTTGTTTCCCAATAATACTTTGATTCTTATGAACAATATATCTAACAAACTTAGTCCAATGTTCAACGAGCCCAAACAAAAAAAGTTAATAAATTTGCAATCCAACTTACAATTTAGGATGGAAGCTTAAACCTAACATATGGCTCCCACCACAAATATTCAAAAAAAAAACTCATAAGCTATCATGGATGTAGAGTAAAGTTGTAAAACCTTGTAAATTTACAAATAATTTGAAACAAAAAAGCACTTTAAAAAACTATTATTATGAATGCTCTAAGTTGAATTAATGCACTGTCTCAATGAGAGAAATTTAATAAGTGTAACTGTAACCGTAAGCCTTGTTAGAAAGTATTATTCTACGTTTTCACTCTCTAAAATAAGATATTTGAGAAGGGAGATTATTGTATAGAAGGCCAAGATAAAGAAGTAATAACATAAGTTATCATGGATGTAGAGTAAAGTTGAAGTAATTCTAACTAAACGACTTAAAAATCATGATGTTTTGCGTTTGGTTTTCTTAATTTTCTTGATGTTTTCTGTTTTCAAATTGTCTGCAATCTGTTTTTACCCAATTATGTTATGGTTTAATGTTGTAGATATGTTCTTGGTTTGGTCGTGAAACTAATCGATCATCAACATGTTATAGTAAATTCGATTAGCATCCCGGGAGTTTTAATCTTCTTCCCAAAGTTTCACTTAATCAATCCGTGTAGAAATTTTTTCATTGTATCTCTACAAGGAACGAACAAATTTTAAATACTTCTATGCATAAGTAATGGATACAATAAAAAAAGATATAATGAACAAAACATCTTATTATTTCTACCAAATGCTTAAATGGTTCATCATGGTTCTTATTCAATCACTTAAACAAACCCAACAACCATGTTATCTTCATTTATTCAATCATAAACAAAGCCATAACAACCATTTAATCAAGGGTTGTACTTATGTTTTTCCAAATATTCTACAAAGTCGTCTGTATACCTCTGTTGTAGCTTCATGTCGCCAAATATTCGGCTCAAAGCCATCGCATTCTCCTTGTAGACCTTCCCTTCATCTTCAACCACTACCGAACTCAGTGAGTTGGCCACCGAGTTCTTGGTGAAGGACCCGTCTTGCTCATTTCTTGGCACCTCAATTCCTACCTTTTTTTCAGCCAATGCTCGAGCATTGAGCCCTTGGTCCACCAAAAACGGAAGCATGATTAAAGGATGACCAAACATTAGACCTTCCACAATCGAGCTCCATCCACAGTGAGTCAAGAACCCACATACTGAGTCATGACTCAGTATCTGTAACTGAGGTACCCAACTCGTCCACACCATCCCACGGTTCCGGATTCGCTCCAAGAACCCGTCTGGCAACTCTACTGAGTCTAACTCAGTGGAACCTGCCGGTTTTCTAAAAGCCCAAAAAAATGGCAACCCAGAGAGCTCGAGACCCAGGGCTAACTCACTCACATCAGTTTTGCTCGGCATAACCTCACTTCCTAATGCTATGTACACCACATGACATTTTCGTTGACCATCGAGCCAGTTCTTGATGGTTAGCCACGTTTCATCCTTCCCATCTTCTACCTCCACCGCTGTGGCCAGTGGCATTAGGCCCACTGGAACCACCGGGAGCTGGTACAACTCTTCTACAACGGTTAACCATTGGGGTTCAAATTCGTAGCAATATCTTATAAACAAACAGTTAGAACCCTTCAAAATCATACCGCTACGATAAACATCTGAAACCCCAGAAGCATTAGGAGAAGAACAACCCTTCATCCAATTGTTAGCCTCATGCCTCCGATAGCATATTTTCGTAGTGAAGGGAAGCCTCTTGGGTGGGGCCAGGAAATCCTCCACCGATGTCCGATTATCGTGATCGTTTATCATGTCCTCCGGCGACTGTCCTACAAAACCGATGAACCATGCGTTGACTAAGGCGAAGAAGGCTCGAGAGATGCCAAGGCCAGCAGCGATCTCCGGCAACCAGTAGGGAGCAAAATCATAAATAATCCAGTCTGGAGATTCTTCCTCGAGAAACCGAGTGACCTCTAGTTGAAGACCATCGAAGGCCTTCTTGAGGTATTGAATATCTTCAGTGTGGACATCCATGGTGGCATCTGCATCCTGCGGCAGTTGTGGAAGACGTGGAAGAGTGAGTGGAACCATATTTAGAAGTGACGAGAGGTGGGAAGGGAGGTTTGGGATACGTTGGATGTTTCGAGTGGTGGAAAGAAAAGATACTTTGTGACCTTTTTGGGCTATTGATTTAGAAAGTTCAAGGAAAGGGATAATGTGACCAAAAGCAAGCCATGGGAAGATTACCACATGAAGCTGCTTACTGTCGTCGGAATCCGTGGTAGCCATTGCCGTAAAGTATGACCGATAATGGTTCCAATGGCCTGCCTTCGTTTGACACTACTAATATCAGAAGATCAATATTATATATAAGGGACATTCTATTGGTCGCCCCATCCCATCCAATCAACTTTATAACTCATTAAAATCTTTCGTATCAAGTCTACATAACTAACTAATTCATGTTTCCCTTTAAATATTAAAAAAACCTTCTCATATCACATCAAATTAAATACATCAAATGTTATAAATAATTTAAGGGTAATTGGCACAAAAGTCACTAACTGTTCAATTTTCTTGATTTTGACACCACATTTTTCTCTTTTATAATTAAGTCGCTATGTTTTCAATTTGTTAATTATGACTAGTTGACTGGTTTGCTTCAGGTTACCCGTTTGTCATTGCTTATGTGACACGACGACATGTCGGAAGCGAAGAAAAACATGACGCAAAAGACACTATGTTTTTATTTTATTTTTTTTGTTGAAATTTTGACTCTAAGTTTTCGATCTTTTCCAATATTGACACTAACTTTTCGATCTTCTCCAATTTGCAACATAAATGAATAAATATATGCAAAGAGATAAACAAAAAGAAACAATAGTTCATAAATAGGAGTATTTGTTGGTTTTGTTGGAAAAGCAACTTAGCAAAAATTTTTAAGAGATCGCTTGAACCATTGTGATTAATTTGTACCAAATGTTAAAATGAATTGATTACTCTGTTGAAATAAGTCTCCCTCTTTCGTTACTTTTAGTTATTAAACCAATACAGAAGGTTCATATCAATACAACTATCCTTCATTTCTTACCCGTTTAGAAAAAATTCTACAATCACACATGGCCTAAACATTCCAGTGACATTCGCCAATAACTGCAATCAGTCTTCTACAACCCTGATTGCTTCTGTTCCTACATAAATAATCAGATAATGTTGAATTGATAAGTTTCATCTAAAAAATTATGTATGAAATTTACAAACCAGAGGGATATCAACATAGTACTAGATATTGCTAAATATCATGGAGTGTCGCTGAAAGGGTAGAACCAATCTTTCCTGCAAATGATGATTTACAGCTTTTTATTGATGGGATTATATGTAGATATTAATGATAGAAAAAGAAAGAATTTGGATCATAAAGCAATGGGTATCCATGATAAAGCCTGAATTCCAAAAACTCTCCGAGTGAAATGAATGTGTAAGAAATGAATGATAGTTGTATTAATTTGGACCTTTTTAAATTGGTTTAATAACAAAAAATCAAGCTATTTTAACATTTAGTACAAAATGATCACAACGATTCAAGCGATATCTTGAAATTTTGCTAAGTTGCTTTTCCAACAAAACCAACAAATACTCATATTTATGAATCATCGTTTCCTTTTTTATATTGTTTATTACACAATGAGACATTTTCTTTTCTTCACAATTAACCTATCGAAAACAAAATTAATTCGTTCAACATCAACATGACTACATTCACTCGCTTGAATCAATTATGATTGGATTACAATTTCATAATTGATTATGACACATTGTAATAATCAATCAATACATGCAATCATTCATGGTTACAAAATATTAAAAGGTAAAATTATGCTACATACCAACAACATCCCTATAAATTTAAATCATAGTTGTTTTCGTAACCTCTAATTATCCAATAATATTTTTTCATTGTGAGAGCTAATTTCATGGAAAACGGCAGTTACAAATATGATAAATAGGAATAATTAATTTTCTATTGACTAATTCATATTTAATTAAATGGTAAAATTCCTATAACGTCATTATGTAATAATTGGTCATGACTTGTTCTCGCGTTCTCAACCTTTTTATGTTCTCAATATAACTTAACCCTATATATATATATATATATATATATATATATATATATATATATATATATATATATATATATATATATATATATATATATGGGATGAGGTTCAATAGTTACCATAATTAACAAAGAACAAAAAAACCAATCGTGAGCGTCAAAAATCATAATGATCAACGACCAATGAAATAGATGTACATTTGTACATTAGATGCACACACCGCATTATACCAAAAAATCCACTTTTTACCAAAAAACTCGCATCTTTTTTTTCATTTAAAATTTTTTAGGCCACATTTTTTATAGAAAAAAAAACGAATATACCGTTGTTTTCGATTTTTCGTCATCTTTCCATAGAGATCTATGTTGAAATATAAAAATCGAATTTTTTTTTCGAAAAAACTCACTTTATTATGTTAGTTTTTTTCAATATTTAAGTTTTTTTTTATCAAAAAAAAACTAATTATACAAAAAAATTAATTTTTTGTACTTTATTAATAAAGATCAACACCGACTTAAAAAAAAAAAAAAAAAAAACCTCGATCAGTGTAGATTGACACTGTGAATTTAAACTGTAAATATTTCAATTTTTAACATTCATAATGTTAAAAAAACTCGATCAGTTCAGATTCACATTGTGAATCTGAGTTACTATTATGCACACTGACTTACTATTATGTACACTTTGAATCTGAGAAGGTTGACAATGTGAATCTGAACAGGTTCAGAATATGAATCTGAACTGAAATATCGTTTTTGTTTTAAACATGAATATGAATCTATTTTAAAAAGTACCAAAAAGTATGATTTTTAATATATTTATTAATTTTTTCTATAAAAAATAGACATAACTTTTCAACAAAGAAAATGAAGTGGGTTTTTTTCGAAAAAAAAATCGTTTTTTATATATAATCATCGATCTCTATTGAAAGATGACGAAAAATCGTGAACAATGATATATTCGTTTTTTATTCGATAAAAAACATGGTCTAAAAAAAATTTAAACAAAAAAAAGAAAATGAGTTTTATTATAATCTGTTGTATGTGTGTCCATTGTAAAAGTCTACAACCCTTCATTTTGTCATTGATCGCTTTAAATTCCGACGTTTCGGATTGGTTCCTTGATTAATAATGTTTATATATATATATATATATATATATATATATATATATATATATATATATATATATATATATATGTGTGTGTGTGTGTGTGTGTGTGTGTGTTTATCTTTTGTATTTAAAATAAAAATAAATAATAAAATTATTATTTTCTTTTATATTTATATTAAAATCATTTAACATATTATTATTATTTGAGTTTATTTATTTATTTTCTTTTACATTTTATTCGAATATAAAGTTTTTTACGTTTTGTATGAATATAATGTTATGTTTTATTTACGGTTTTTCATTTAGTATATTTAATATTGTAGTTTAATATTATTATTAAAGTTTTTTCATTTATTTATTTAACATTTTGTCTAATTATAACTTTTAACGTTTGTTCGTTTACATAATTTAATCGAAACTTTAATATGAAAAAACATAGATAAAAAAATTGAAAAATGATAAAAACTTAACCAAAAACTTGAAACAAGTTACTAAAAATTTTAAAAAGCATGAAAAACATAAGTAGAAAATTTTACAATTTTTTTATAAATAAAACATCAAATGTTATAAATAATTTAAAGATGACTTGAAAGATGTAAATAATAAAAAGTTTAAAAAACATTAAAAAAAAAGTTATAAAATATTTAAAAAGTTAAACGTGTTGTCCGAAAACGTTATTTAATTTTGTTTTTTTGACAATTTATTCGTTTTCAAGTGATAAATAAACTAATCAAAAACAAGTTTGATTTATTTGACTTTTTATGTATATTTTAAACAAAATCAAACTTTAAAATTCATTAAAATGTTCCGTCTCAAGTTTACATAACTAATTAATTCATGTTTACCCTTAAATATTAAAAATGCTCGTCATGTCACATTACTCACATCAAACTTTATAATTTATGTTTCTTTTTCTGTTTTTTATTTTAAAATATGTATATATATTATTTTATGTCTTTTTTTTATCTTTTTTATTTAAAATAAAAATAAACAACAAAATTATTATTTTCTTTTATATTTTTATTAAAACTATTTAACATATTATTATTATTTGAATTTTTTTTATTAATTTTCTTTTACGTTTGGTTTGAATATAATATTTGTTTTCTGTTTTGTACAAATACAATGTTGTGTTTTTCTTTGAGATTTTTTCGTTTAATATATCTAATATTGTAATTTAATATTATTATTAAATATTTCGTTTATTTATTTCACATCTTGTCGTTTTGTTCTTTTACATTACATAATTATAATTTTTTGACGTTTGTTCGTTTACATTATTTAATCGTAACTTTTTGACGTTTTGTCCGTTTATCCGAAACCGGCTTGTAAAAAAATATGTTAAACATGAAAAAAAAACATAAATAAAAAGTTGAAATGTTATAAAAACATTACCAAAAACTTGAAAAGAGTAACTCAAAATTTTAAAAAGCATCAAAAACTTAAGTAGAAAAGTATACAAAAAAAAGATCAAATGTTATAAATAATTTAAAGAGGAATTGAAAGATGTAAATAAAAATAAAAAATTTAAAAAACGTGATAATAGTTAAAAAAAAGTTGTAAAAATGTTTTTTTTTACAACTTGTTACTTGTTTAACTTTTCATTTGTTGTACGATGATAACTAAGATTTATTTATAACACTCGGTTTCGAATCGTTTCATCGTCCGCTGCCGTGGCCCGGTCGTCAGTCATCTTAAGGCTTTGGGCCTTGGGGAAGAAAGGATTTGACCATTTTTGGATTTGGTTGTGAGAGTCTAAGTGATCCGAGTGTTCTTTTGTGTTTCGGAGCCCAACGGTATAATTGTAATTTGATAACTCGTTCCTTTATTAATTTTGGGTTTATTTTCGGGAAGTTCTTAAGCGGGGGTGAGTTGAGAGAAGTATAGGGCTTCTCGTAACCTTTCCGCGGATATAAAGTTCGTTGGAAACGGGCTTATAACGAAGAAGTTATGGCCTTCGGAAGTTTGGTGGATTTAAGGTTTAGCCGGATACGCGGGGCGTACACAAAGGTTACGCGGGGCGTAATCAAAGGTTACGTAGGGCGTACTAGTGAAA